GTCTGATTATGCTACCACCACTATGAAATGGGTGTGCAAAGCCTACTCAATAGATTTCAAAAATCTTTTGGTGAAACTGTTTAATTTGCCTGGTGTTCTGCTTTAAATTTAAGCTGTTGATTCTATGTTGGTAAATACAATGTACATGAAGGAAAATGTAGCAGAAAAATTGAAACACCCCTTCCCTTAACAGTGTGAGCTTAAATGAGACTCCAAGAACAGAAGAGTGAACAAAAATTTATAACTACAGTTGGAAAAGCTCACCAGTGGGGTCTCTGAGTGGTGAACAAAGGTGTTGGATGATTTAACTTGTGATCATTGACCAAAAACTAAAATATCAATTTGTGGTTGGAGAAACACTTAAATTCAATAAATGCAATACGCAGGGAATTGCAGCAAAAAAATTCCTCAAGGAAATGGTAATTTGTCATCTGCTTCTGCACATGATGGTCAAAAACTTGCCTGTGCGCACAACGCATTATGTGCATCCATGTAAACTGCATTGTTCTCCAGATTCCAGACAACAAACCGGTCAATAAAACTATGTGCCTTCCTGTGAGTTTGCAAATTTGGTAGAAAAGAAAACATTTAATTGTTATGTCTCAATGTAAAATGAAATCCCTTACCAGTAGATGGCCAGAAACATCACTGTGAAATGTGAAAGCAAATATGACAGATGATATTGCCACTGTCAAATTTACTCAAATGCCTTTTGCAACGTGCAGAGGTTTCATAAATGACAACGGGTATTTACACAATTAAGCACTGATCCTTTCCCTCCAGCTCCGTTCCTTCATTAAAATCAACGCCCTCTATTAAGAATATTTAATTCATAAATGTGACACTATTAACAATGAGGGGCAGATGGCATGTGTAGCTATTTTTGTTAGGTGGATAGAATTTTTGTCTTCTATTGTAGTATGGAATATTGAGGTTATTAGTGTATTACCGTGATTCATCAAATACATTCACCCGTGTTTTTTTTTTTTGACAGTTTTATTTAGGCTATGGGAGATATCATTAATGCGCCGACTGGGCTACAGTTTGTATTACAATTTTGCTTTTCAGTTTCCCCTTAAAGATAATATGCCATCCTTTCTGTAAAGCTCATTGCTTCTGAGGCCTTCTGAAATCTCAGTTTAGCTCATTTAGCATTTTAACAAAACTTTTCAGTAAGACAGGTAACTAAATTTGTATCTTTTTTTTTTACATCAAACAAAATTATCTCTACAGCTGAACTGATGGAACACCTAAAACAGCTGATGGAACACCTAAACAAAGACTTGTTAATGCTCATAAGACTGGAAAGGGGGTTTCAAGGAATTTCCAAAGACTTAGAATCTTTTTTACACTGTTAGTGTTCTTTCAAGAAATGGGTATCTGACTTGCAAATACATATCATATGCTCAAATATATGACAAAGAATGCTAGACATGTGAGGACCTGCAGCCATCTTTTGCTCTCTGATAACTTATGTGTTTGAGAGCCTACCATCAGAAAAACATTGGTGAAGAATGTTCTTAGGTAGCAACCACAGAGTAAACCCTTTTCCTCAAATAAAATGTTGATGTATGTCTCAGGTTTTTTAAAGACCACTAGAATGTTCATCACACATCTCTACAGTTGAACTCCAGCCTTACCTTTACTCTTTCACGGTTGTACAGGCTCCTCCCTTATATTGAAATTGCTCAGATTTCACTGTACATTATGAGCGTCTCACACTGTGCATTAGAAACTGCAGGAAGTCAGACACAACCATCTTCATTTCTTGAGAATGTTCAGCATCAACTATCTCTTTCCTAACCAGCCTGACTGTCCATGACCCCTCACTTTCATTCACCCTACCAGATTTTTCCACCAGCCATGATTTTCTGCATTGCACAGAGACACAAAAAGATCCAGTGTTGATGTCATTGGGTCTAAAATAAGGTATGTCATGAAAATGGAAAGGTTTTATTAAAAAAAGTCATTAGCATGTAGATGAAAAAGAGAGCGAGGAACCGGGGAAGCTGTAGAAGCCTGAAAAAAATGTTTTTGGTAGAAGATAAAAACCTTATTCTCTAACTGCAAAGCATGATAGAGGAATAAAACTGTGAGAAAATATTGCAGTGTATGTGATCAAAAAATCTGAAGAAGCTAGGGCATGCCATTAATCTGATTTCCTAAAGATGTTAAGAATCTTCACACAATATATTTTTTGAATATTCACTTCAACTATCCAATCATGTGCAGATTAGATTAATAAATGGGGACTGGCTTTTGACATGCTTGTTTAATTGAAGTGAATATTCATACAGTTCATTGTGTGAAAATTTTCAACTCTTTTAGGAAATTAGCCTCACTTTCTCAATCTTCACTCCTATAAGTGAAGAATAAAATGGTGTAGCCTCCCTGGCGGTATTCCCGAGTGTAGCTCGGGGTAAAGTTTCAGTACCACAAGCGGTAACCCCGAGCTACACTCAGGCTTACCATGCGGCACTGCTCCGGGATCCCTCGATCACTTACCTTGTTCTGCGCTCCCGCGATGTCCCTCCTGCAGTGTCCCGGCAATGTAATCCGGCGGATGCCGGCATCTGTCATCTGGGTTCCGTCCCCTGTGAGCGGCAGGACGTACGGGGACGGAACAGCGGGAAATTCAAAAATGACAAAAAGTCACATTCACTAAAATCACATAGTAAAACATTACTGTATTTCACATACATTTTGTCCCTAGTGCTTTGTCCTGTGCCCTGCCTGCATTTTTACTGTTCTTTCTGCCTGGAAACTGAGAAACGTCCATGGCGTCCAAAAAGCGTCCCTTTAGGTCAAAAGCGGTTTTAGACCAGCTAGAGAACAGCGATAGTAAATCAGAACCACTTGCAGGATTGAGTGATAATGATTCGTGGGGAAATTTGTCATCAGACACTGAAAACGATTTTGCGACTTTGCTAAGTGATGTGGGAACTTGGCGCTATATTTCAAATTTCAGTGTTTTTGGTTTGATTATATTATTGAATTAAATTTATTATTATTATTATATTATTATTTTTTATGATTATTTATTAAATTATAATTTATGATTTTGTGTTTCAAGTTTTATCCTACCTGGGATGTTTACTAGACTCTTGTTCGGACAGATTTCAGTGAGTTATTTCTAAAAATTACAGGCCTACAATAAAAAAAATGCATATTTCCATGCAAAAAAATGTTCCGCTTTGAGCACAGAAATATGGACATAATCAGACCGCTAGGGAGGTTAAAAAGTAAAAGATCCTTAGAATGGCCTAGTCCTGAACTCCTTGTAAATACTGCAGCATAAACTAAAACAGGCGATTTAAACATGATAAACTTAAAGCAGAACTTCACCCAAAAGGGGTAGTTCTGCTTTAAGTCCTCCTCTCATGTAGCATGTCATTTTTTGTTTGCTTGGTGGGAGATAGCAGGTGCCTAGTTTTGACAGGTTCCCACTCCCATTTCCGCTTGGATCACCGGGCAATCCGAATGGAAGTCCCCCCCCCGCACAGTCTTCTTGGACACGTCACAGGTCCCAGAAGACTGCGGCACCATTCACAATGTGCAGCAGGACTTGCAATTTTAAAAAAAATAAGGCAGGAAAAGAGATTTGTTATTTAAATATGGAAAGGCTTCTTCACAGTACCAGCGGTGAAAATGTGGAATAGACTCCACTGAGAACTGCTTTTGGCCAGCTCAGTAGATTTTTTTTTTTTTTTTAAAGGTCTAGATTCTTCCCTAAATGTACAGAATATAACTGGATGCTAACATTTATAGGTAAAGTTCACCCAGGGAATATCCGATTGCCTCTTGGGGGATCAGGAAGGAATTTTTTCCCTTGCTGCAGCAAATTGGATCAAGCTTTAATGGGGGTTTTTTTTGCCTTCCTCTGATCAGCTGTGGGTATAGGATTGTGTATATAGAATTGTATATATTTTTTTCCGTTTTAATAATTGAACTAGGTGGACAGGTCTTTTTTTCATCCAGACTAAATATGTAACTATGTAACTCGCTCATGAGCAGTGGGCAGCCGGCTCTAAAGCTGAAAACAGCATAGCTGACTGCCCAAAGTTAGGATGCCGGCACCATGAACCCGAAGACTAGTGAAGAACTAGCCCGGGTGAGGACGGAGTTGGATCCCTGGACAGGTAAGTGTGCTTTTATTAAGAGTCAGCAACTACAGTATTTGTAGCTGCTGACTTTTATTTTTTTTTCAGAGTGAACCAGGGGCAGACTGACCATTTGGAAACTCAGGCACTGCCCGAGGGCCCGGGGTTCAGTAAGGGGCCCCATGAGATGCCCCTGGTACTTTTTTCATAGCCTTTTTTCAGGTTGGGCAAGGACACAGGGGCCCCATGATCTCCTATTGCCCAGAGGTCCCATAAGTTGTCAGTCCGCCCCTGGAGTGAACAACCACTTTAAAGATACTGAAACAAAAACATACAGAAATGAGGCAAATACCTCCTAAGGAATTGGCACGCCAGCACGAATGCTACAGGAAGCATTTAGCTGAGGTTGTTGCAAGCAAAACAAAAAAGGGTTCCACTAGTTGTTTTTTGCCTCAATTACTTTTTATATAATTACCCTAATTTTTAAAGTTCTTGTTCATGTTAAACTTTTGTTAAATAAGACAATATTTATTTATTATGATGACTTAAATAAAGATGACACTTAATAAGCCATTCAGCAACATCATTGTCTATGGGTAGGTGAAAATTGGTCAGTGTTTTTCTTAATGATCAATCCATTTTCACTGTGAGCATTAGCAAGCTTAAAAATAATATTTTATTGATGGAATCAACAAGAATGCTGTTTATATTTCACAACAGAGCCATTGTCATTAACCCTGAGGTTCATCGAGGTTAAACCATGTAGTGGAAAGGCAGAATAGCTGTAAATATTAATTATGTTAGCAGTGATAGTAAAATTTCATTAGTGTGAGGTCAGAAAAGAAGTGGGTAATTGTTTTCTCCCCATCAACTAGTTATGGAAAGTACAAATGAAAATGTAGTGTATAGCATAATAAAATGTCCGAAACCAGTGCAAACTTCTTCTTCCTCTGTGTACAATAAAGCCAAAATCCAGGTAAACAGTTAATACTGTACATACAGTACTTAAATAATAGGGGATATTTTTTTATCTGTCAACATATTTATAAATGTATCCAACCAGAACCAGGGGCGGACTGACCATTTGGAAACTCTGCCCGAGGGCCCGGGGTCAGTAGGGGGCCCCATGAGGCTTTTTCATAGGCTTTTTTGAGTTTGGGCAAGGACACAGGGGCCCCATGATCCCCTATTACCCGGAGGCCCCATGAGTTGTCAGTCCGCCCCTGACCAGAACTGAGATTTTCACATCTCATCCAGACAGCAGAGCTAGGTTTGGTGACCTGCCTGTTCTCTACTGCAGTTAAGGAATACAGCTTGGTCACCTCCCTGCCCCCCAGCCTTTAACTGGCTGGTAAAGACGCATCAGAATATTGATGAACCATCCCACTTTCCACTCTTTCTGTTAGCAAGTTCTTTGCCAGTACATATGTCTGTTGCATATCTGATTGCCTCCTAGTGCTACCCCTCCTTTCAGTCTGAATGATGCTGTAATCCTTAAAGTGGAATTTAACTGTATCTGAGTACCACAAACTGATTCATTTTTAGTATTCCAAGGAAACTCGCCCATCCATTCATCCATCCTTTTTTGCATTATTTTGTTGAAAAACATCCCCTAGCATTTTTAGCTGTGGACATCTTGAGTAAGGGCAGATTACTCATGTAGCATTTACTTCTTGGAATCCATCTGGCCTTAGCTCAGGAATGCAGGCTTAGCTGAGAATGTGCTTAGCTGAGAAACCCCCTCCTCCAGATAAAAGAAAGACTGAAGACTCCTGGGATGTGTGACATCAGTTTGACCTTGGCCACAAACCAGGAAACCAGAAAAAACAACTCAAGAAATTGTAAAAAAAAAAAAAAGAAAAAAGTTTAAGACAAGTAATTGTAATATACCAGAGGCGTAGCTAGGATATTTTGCACCCGGGGACGAACTATAAAAATGGCGAACCAGCCCCCCTCCCCATTTAATCACATCAGTGACAGTGACACCAATGATGGGGCACTATTCCTCCCACTAACACCAATGACACTTACCTTGCTGACCCCTACTCCAGCCTAGGCTCCTTCCCTCTCCCAGCCACAGCCAGCATACCTGGTTGCAGAAGCACCATCTGCACGGCACACTTACCGGTCAGCTGTCTTCTTCACTTGCTCCGACCGCTCCCTCACTCGATCCTCGCGCTGCTGCTCGGCTCCTCCTCTCCAAGCCTCGCCTCCTCGCAGGTGATTGGCCACCTGTGTGCCTTTCCTGAGCTACAGTTCTGGCACCAAATCACCGGTGAGGAGGCGGAGCTTGCAGAGGGAGGTACAAGCTGCCATAGGTTGTCCAGTGATCCCGAGGGTGTGGCCAGATGACAGGGCGGCATGTCATCCTTCCCACACTTCGCATCCAGGGAAAAGAAGACACCGGACCTGCGGACCTCTCTACCCCTCCTCCAGCAGCGCCTCCTGGACTGGATCGTCGTGGGACTGGGACACGGAGCCAGGTAAGAAACAGCAGCCCACTGCCCGCCCCTGTATTAAGTGTCCCTTCCGTATGAAGGGGGGGCGGCGGCATCACGCCACCCCCTAAAAAGTGCCGCCCTAGGCAAACGCCTTGTTTGCCTCATGGCAAATACGCCCCTGGTTGTAAGCCTCATCTTGGCGCCCCTGTACCTTGGCACTCGGGTACATATGTACCCCCCTGCCCCCCCACAGCTACGCCTCTGTAGTATACCGTCTTACTGTATCTATTTACTAATGCTAGCTGAATAAGGATTCAAAGTAATTAAGGATGATTGAGAGAGTTTAGTTCTGCTGTAAGCTGGACAATAGCTCAGTTCAATAAAGAAAGCCTTTTTACGCTATCCACAACAATAAAAATAAAAAGCTCTAAAAATGCATTTTTTAAAGATATTTATTAATTGGCCATATGACCAATTAGTACAGTATAGAGAGGATGTTAATGTATGGGGCAGAGACTGCTTGTGACATTCTTCATTCTACTATAAATGAAAATAGTTTTGCCTTGTGTAGCACTAGACTGCGTGTCTCCGGACAGGAGCTGCTGTCAATCATTATAGGGGGCTGGACTATGAGTATGGTAGCTTGTGATTTCCCAGGCCGACAGTGGGATTGCTGGCTGTTCTGCTGTTACACCCCGGTCACACTGAATGCGAATTAGCATGCGTTTTGCAAATCGCAAGCCAAGTCACACCCTAGTGTCCACAATTAGAGCGGTCATATCGTTGCAGTTCCGACATGGTCAGAGCCACACCGATTTCCAAAGTAGCACATGCACTACTTTTGGTGCGATTTGCATAGACATCTGTGTCAGATGTCTTGCAAATTGCACATGAAATCGGCATGTCCCCCGACTTTGAAATTGTGCGACTTTACTGTAAGTAGCACGATTTCAAAGTCGGGTTTGTGACCAGTGTGTTAGTGTTTAAAGATCAGCTACGCATGTCTGGCAACTATACTTTCTGAACTCATGGATAGGTTTGAAAGAAAAAAGAGCAAAAAAAGCTGGCGAGCTTTCAAAATCAGCAGGTATTTTCATTTCTCTGGCATCTCATCACAAAAAAGGTAGACATACTGAATATTAAAAAGTAGTATTTCATTGATGATTTCTATCATTTCACATTTGCATACACAGTAATCCCTTACCATTTGCAATCTGTTTAATAACCTGTAAACATCAGGTCACCCTCTGATCTTAGGTTACAATACAACCAGCCCATCTGGCAAAATCCTGCACTTCCAATTTATTCCTGATGGGTTGGGCATGGGTGGGACTAGAGATGTAAAATTTCCAGGAATTTTGAAGTCATGGGAAAAAAAAAACCATTTCCCTGTTTTTTTTCCAGAAAAAATGGAAATGTTCAGAAAAAAAAAAAAAAATTAAGTGTGGAGTAGTCTTACAAATTGCAGCTTTGCTCTCAACAGTAAATGTTTCCAAACTCAAGATCAGTTTTTTTTTTTACCCTTTTTATCTTTGAGGAACCCCTGGCAAAAAGTCTGAGATCTTGGAAAACCCCTGAAATAATTTTCATTTATACAGCTCATGGAACATTTGTGTGATCAGTAAGCTGTAGATATAATAACAATTATTCTTAGAGCATTAACCTCTTCAAGCCGGCTGAGCGCAAATGTGCGGCCTCACGGCATCTGGGCCTAGAGGCTGAGCGGCCGCACATTTGAGTTCTATTAAAAAAGAACATATGTGCTGAGAGCGCGCTCCCAGCACACATGTCCGGAACTCACGGAAAGGTCCCGATCTCCTCTTTTGATCGGGACCTCTACCGATCATATGACCGCTGTGACGGAGTGCCACAGCGGCCACATGACCCTAAACCCTGCCCCGCCTCCCGGCTTCTGGAACCTTTAAAGGGCTGGGAGGTGCCAGCTGCTAGGGGTTAAACAAAAGAATAAATACTAAACGTACTACGTAATGTGAAACTTGCATGCTTTTTTTGCACAGATGCTAAATTCTTGATCTAACTTGAGATAAGCAGTGTACAGGGGGTCCGCTGGGCAGAGCACAGGGGATCCAGGAAGGAACAGTACGGGGGGGGGGGAGAACAGTATAAGCGGGTGCAGGAGAGAACTGTACAGGAAGGCCAGGAGAGAACTGTATGGTGGGCCAGGAGGGAACAGTACAGGGGGTGAGAAGTGAACAGCACTGGGGTCCAGGAGGGAACAGTATAGTACATGGGGGCCAGGAGGGGAGAGTACAGATGGGCCAGGATTGAACAGTATAGGGGAGCCAGAAAGGAACAGTCTAGGAGAGCACAGTGCAGTACAGGGGGACCAGGCAGAAACCATACTTGAGAGAACAACACTGGGATCTGTGGCCGTTTTCCTCATGTAGAGTAGCTCAGGAAAGCTTCTGGATGGTATCTGGTGCGCTGATCCCCTCCTCTCTCGTCTCTTCTGAATGATGTCACACGCAGGCACCTGGGACAGACAGGCAGAGAGGACCGGCTGGAATTGGCACAGTAACAGGACAATAATGCAAGTTGTTTCTCTCTGCAGTCTAACTGTCAACTAAGTGGGGATGCGATTTACTCGTTTTCTGCTTGTGATGGAGAGGCAGATCATGGCAGAACCCCTGGGGACCTCTTGCAGAAACCCGGTTGAGAAACACTGCTCTAGATGTTAGACTCACCATTTTACTGATAGGCAGAAAAGAAAAGACTATTTACTGACCAGACTATAGGTAAACATTATGCTGTGATGGTGGAGAACATTAATGGGATGTTTTAAATGTTATAAGCATAAACTAATTTGTCAAAGTTACCCTCTTATAAGTCAATTAAGTCCTGAGAGGAGGACAGAAACTGTCATCTACTGTATCCCAACAGTCACCCACATGTAGGAGGTGCAAGATGGAGCCCACAAGCAAACTAAATTGGAGCTTTTCCCCTGCTGTGCCTCCTAGTGGCAGAAATGCAGATTTCTCTTGTCTGAGAACTGCATTAAGAAGTACAGTGTTACTTGAATTGTATCCCAGGATTTGCTTGTCTTCAGCTGAGAGAACTTTACATAAAGTCTCAGAAATATTTAATTAAGGTCTTCATGTTGTATATTTTGAATACCATGTCATAAATATATTGTTTATCAATTTAAAAGAACATATCCCACACTTCTTTTTTAATTTTATATTTTTTTTCCAATTAGCTGGAAAAAATAAAAATGGTTTCGGAAAAGAATGAGAAAAAATAGTTTTTTCCCTCAATTTTTCAGTTTTTTTTCCAGGTTCTCCCATCTCTATGTGAGACTGAAGTATGTAAATCAAATATAAAATAAAGGCTCCTTTAACCACTTGCCGTCCGGCCGCTGTATATAAACGGCTGGACGGTGGCAGTCCAGGGGCGGGTTGCCGTTCATAAACGGCGCCCACCTTTTTGGACTGTGCACACAGTGGAACACCGATTGTTGTACCAATCAGTAATCACATGCAGAGTAGTAAGCATATGTGTGAAATCTGTGAATGATCACAGAGATCACATGGTACAAGGCTATTCACAACAGCCTTGTACCATGTGACAAGCTGTGACCAGTCACAGCTCACACAGTATTTCTCAATGGCTGCAAGAATGCAGCCAGAGAGAA